CCCCAAAACCCCAAAACCCCAAAACCCCAAAACCCCAAAACAATTATAATAATTGATTATCAATTACCCACTTAACACAATGGACCCCCAGGTAAGTTATTATTTCAAAGAAGATGGATCGATAATTATTCTCAAAGAAATATTGATATTGATGATCTATAAAAAACCTATCAGTGAAATTTACTAGAGCACTAAAAGTTTCAGAGATCTTTATACGTGATCCATTATATGACACTAATTTAGTTCAAAAGCTGGTCATTTTGCTTATAAAAGAAAGTTATCAAACTTCAAATAGCCTATTAAGGCTTTTAGAGGATCTAATATGCGTCCAAAGCTAAAAAGGTTGCTTTATTTACTAAAAATTAACCTTCATTTTAGGAAGAAGATATAGTGAATTTGGATGAAGATTCTCCTCATGCAGGCATTTCTGATAACTTAAACAATATGAGAATTAACGTAAGTCTCCCTTTTAATCAAACGTTTGATACATTTTTATCTTCAATGACTCTTTTCTAAGATTTTAGAACAACAATAATGAAGAGAATACCAAAAATGAAGAGGATAAAGAGCAGGCTGAGAGGATGGTCCCTCTTGATAATAATAGCTATCCCGATATTAACCATAACGACTCTGATGAAGACCAGGCTATAGGGTCAGATAAAGGGAATCGTGAGGATAGAAAGGAGCCTCACAATAATCAGAATGATGAATTCGATTTCCATCCAGTAAATAATCTTAACTCAGATATTTTCGACAACAGAAATGGTAAGGTTTATGTCCTACTTTTACTCGTGATAACCTTCAAAGTAGGCTTTAGTATCTGACTTTCAATTTTTAAAAATTCTATTCTTAGATGTAGTAAATCAGCATTTTCCAACAAATACACGAGATCTTTAGTATATTTGTCACAACACTTGCTATCCAACAATATTTTGATAAATTGGACAAAGAAAATAGCCCTATTCACTTGCTTTAAAATGGGTTTAGAAAGCTAATTAAAATTAGAGAAATCTTACATCATTCTGACATTTATCTGTTAAAACTGATTGGAGAAAAATTAGAATCTAGTTTTACTTCTAAGCCTAGTCAAACACTTTCATACTCTCATGTTTCAATGCCATATCTATTACATAGAGGATGAAGATTGGAACAACATGTGGACTACCCCCGTTAACGGAGACTCTTCGTAAGTATTCTGCTTAAAAAATTAGTCCGAACAACAATAGGTAACACAAAATATCACTATCGATATTTTGACTTCACATATAGTTTTAACAAAGCAGAAGTCGGCTCTGATAATGATTATGCCGAAGGTAAGGTTCTTTAAGACCCATACACTACAATAGAGCTTTTCTGACTCTTATCAACAGATGTATTTCCCTAAAATTCTCATATTCCACCATCAATATCCGCAAACATCCTTTCTCTTGGCTTTTTCTTAAATGTCCTTAATCCCTTGTAGATGAATTCAAAGAGGAAGATAGATGGGACTATGCCCATAATAACGGCGGAGGATGGGATGCATTCGGAAACAATGGGTAAGGTATTACAACTAACCTTTAGAATACAATATCCGCAGATATCCATTAATGATGGTCCACCCGCTTATTACCAAAGTATCCATAACAGATGGAATAAAGATTCAGGTGAGTCTTTTGGTTAAATTCAATAGATTCCTCTTCAAACAAAGGAGATGATGAAGACGGCTTCAATTGGAACAATAATGATGAAGAAGGTAATCCTATTCTGAAACCTATGGGAATCATCATGGTGTTGTGATTTTAACAAAACTTTACTTTGTATAAACTATACTCCGGACATTAATATCCTTTTAGATATCCCAAGTATTTGGAACAAGCCAAAGGTAGAAATTACAGCTAAAAGGACATACAAACCTCTAAAGTACCCGAAAAAGACTGTGTATGTTGATGATGATAGTGAAGAAGAGAAAATAGTAACCTAATCAGAAATCTATCAAGCCAACACCCGCATTCAATTAATTAAGCAGGCATCATTATTCAACCTTTTATTATTGTGTTGGGGTTTTGGGGTTTTGGGGTTTTGGGGTTTTGGGG